GTTTTGTCCCGGGACTCTGGTGAGTGTTCGATATGTCTGGATGACTGCCCTGTCTCTGTGTCTACCACAAAGGGTATAAGAAACATTCACTAACACACACATACCCGCTGTCGTCTGTGGAAATCATCTCATCTTCTGCTCCTCCAGGTGTATTGATGAATGGTTTGAGGTCAACGGGTCGTGTCCAGAACATCCCATAGATTAACATTAAAACAGGTCAGATGTTAGACACGTTGCATAAATAGAGTGGAGTTAGGACCATTTATCTGAATTCAGATACATTTCATGAAGGCCCTATTTTACTCAGACTATTTTTATACCCTATTCCACTCTGTTTTTTTTTTTCTTCTTCTTTTTTTCTCACCTGCAGATATTTCCAGGAAAGCAAACCAGCAGAAAAGGGCTCAGGCTCAGTTAATATTTTCTCCATGATCTGACTAGCTTTGACACTAGATGATGAATCCACCACCATCTGAGACCTATGTAGAATTAAATCCTGAATGAAATCATGCATACAGTTTGCACAGTTCTGTTATCAGATCTGATGGCTGTTTAACAGTAATCTAGCTGTCATCTTTACCCATGAATCTCTTGGTAAATATGGCAGCTGGTGGATTACAGGATTACTACATTTTTGTACAGAAACATAGTGGTTTCATGATTGATAACCACTGGATGGAATATAGTTTCATCAACTGCACATCCCCTGAGTTAAATATATGAGTGTCACAGCAAAGGGACTGAATACTTGGGACCATGTGATATTTCCGTTTTTCTTTTTTAATAAATCTGCAAAAATGTCAACAATTCTGTGTTTTTCTGTCAATATGGGGTGCTGTGTGTACATTAATGAGGAAAAAAATTAACTTAAATGATTTTAGCAAATGGCTGCAATATAACAAAGAGTGAAAAATTTAAGGGGGTCTGAATACTTTCCGTACCCACTGTATATATATATATATACATGCATTTATTTTGTTAATAAAATATACTGACATATGATTTGAGAAAATCTCTTCTAAAAAGACTCACCCCCGTTTCATTTTAATAAACATTTACATAAAAGGTAAAGAAATAGGAAACATTTAGTCTTTTATTAAACAGGAAACATTGGGAATATTGTAAAGTAAATTGTCATTTAAAAAGGAATTATATTCTGTTGTATTTTCTGTGCGTCTGATTGAGTGTTTCTATATCGTCACACTTGCCCAGCTCCATGAAAACAGAATGAATCATGGAGGACCAGGAAACATTCAGTGATGGAGATAATTCTCCAGGATATAGGTATGTCAAAGTTAATGTGGTTATGTGAGTGGTTGTCTTTATCATATTCTGGTGCTGAGATATAATTAGGACCTTGAGTGTCTAAATTACAAGAGCCCAGATCTGTCATTAAATAGATGGATGGGTGGGTGGCATCATACTATTTAAAGTATTACAGAAATGAAGTGTTTTTGAACATTTGTGTTTTTCATGTAACACTTTTCATATCCCATGGAAAAACATTCCGTAAGCTCATTCTTTTAAGGGTCTAAACACAAAAAAACAAAAAAACTGGTTACACTCTACTTGAAGGGGTGTGCATAAGACTGACATGACACCTTCATAATCATGCAATGACACCTTCATAATCATGACATGACACCTTCATAATCATGACATGACACCTTCATAATCATGACATCTACATAATCATGACATGACACCTACATAATCATGACATGACACCTACATAATCATGACATGACACCTACATAATCATGACATGACACCTACATAATCATGACATGACACCTACATAATCATGACATGACACCTACATAATCATGACATGA